TGCAGGACTCTGCACTCGCGACCCGAAGAGCTGCACTAGTGTAGGGAAGCTACACGACTCTGTCCCTAAACCCTAAACCAAACTTGCTGGGGTCTGTTTTGGGGGCCTTGGCCGACGAATTGCAGACAAGATGTAGCCTGAACAATAGTTCGTCCAACACCCTTTAAATCTAAATGTCCACAGAGACCCTAAACCCTCAAGTCTGAGCCTGCAATACTTGCGGGTCTCTTAGCCGAAATTCGGCCCTGTCCCTAAGAAGCACTCCGTGAAGGAGCTGGGACAACACTGTCGTCATTTGGGCACAGGAGATGGAAGGCATTGTTGCCAGGGCTATTTCGAAAAAAGTTTGAAACTGTATGGTGCCTTAGTACTAAGGTTCGGCTTGGCCTGAAACACGGAACTCTGACCCATCCTGACCCCAAATCGCGTAACTTTCCGGGCCTTGTCTGCTTCCCTGAAACGCTGGGCTTATCGACATTGGAAGCTCGTGGCATAGTGAATCCGTACAAAACCACTGGCGCCTGCATGGTCTGTGCTGGGTTCTGGAGTCCCATACTTCATTACTTTGTTACCCCAAGGGTCCGAGTAGCTAATGGTCATATACTCTCCCAAATATGAACCTACGTAACTACTATCCGATATAACCCAATAGTACTTTGGGTCCTTTGGACCCTTGAGGTTTGGGCCCGGTTCCATAAATGGAGCATCATGAAATACAAGTTTATAGCTGCTCTCTTCCCCCGGGATACTTCAGACCCCTGTTGGACTGTTGCTTACACCGTATAGAAATCTCACCGTACCTAGAACCCTGTGACCCAGCAGTCGCAACCTTGTTCGGGGCTTCTTTAGTTAAGCTTACGGGGCCCATAGCCTAGACCCATAAAGCCACAAACGCTTACAGCAACCTATAGCAACGCTTGAAGTAATCCTGCCTGCAATCAATAGAGCAAACCTTATAGCAACCCTTCCAGTAATCCTTTTTAGTGACCCCTGCTTTGACTCTTGTAAGAGCCCATGTCCTTCAAGACCCTAAACCCTAACCCTTCACCCCTCAAGCTTAAACCCGCATTGATCCTCTTGGAAGGCTTTACGTAATAATACTAATCAGGATTCCGAATTTAATCCTGATTAAGGGGGTCATTAACCAGGGGTCCACGTCAAGCCTGATACTCGCAACCCTGGACAAACAGCCCTTACCGCGAGAAGCATCCCCGCGCGAGAGGCCATGCGTGGAGGCAGCTTGCGAAGCTGTCAGTGCCACTCGGCCTAGTTTCGTGGTTTCTACGCATTTAGAGATCAAAGGACGTGTACGATTTGGGGCATCTTTTTTGGGCAACGGAGTCTTCAAAAAATGTCCTTGTGAAGCGACATGCCGGAGGTTTGCAATAGTCCATTCCCAGGCCACCAGGAGGATCTGAGAAGTAGGTTCCGAAATTTGGAATGATACAGTACTATAAAGAAAGGGTACTTTCGAGGAACCCCCTTAAGGGATCTACTCGTTGCATCGTCCCAGGGGTCTGGGTTTCTGAGCTCCCCAAATAATTTATATTCGCAGGTTGCCTTAAACACAAGAGTATTGTTCGGCTCCTTGATTAATCCGAAACCCCATCAACAACTCCTTGCTAGGATCCGTCAAACCCCTTCCTTAAACTTTACGCCAAGACCCGACACACAAAACAGATATGAGCTACTGACAAACTTAAACAGCAAGTAAACCTCAAACTTTCCTAAAGCTTAAACCCTTTTGGAACCTCTTACAACCCTAAAATCCAAGTAAACCCTCAATCCTAAAGCCTATAGACCCTTAGGAACCCTCCTACAAACCCCCAAACCCTAAACCTCAGACCCATAACCCCCAAAACCCTAAACCTTTAAACCCCTAATCCCCAATAAACCCTGAACTCCAAACCCTCTTACAAAAATACCGGATGTTCCGAGACCGCAAGGCTAAGGAAAAAAGGCATTCACAAAAAAAAACATCTTACAAATCCCAAAATACCCGTCTGGTCCGAGGGATGGCAAAGTGGAAGGCCTCTCGTGGCCGGGGCCCCTCCGAAGGGCCTGTTTCTAGGGTCCCGAAAAAGGGGTCTAGAAGGGTTACTATAAAAGATCTATAAGGACTATAAGGATACTATAATGTAGGATCCTGATTACGAAATCCTGGGCCTATTTCACCAAAATAGTAGGATTTTTTAGGAACCCTAATAAAGGCCCAAGGTTTCTGAATCAGGTTCCTACATTAGGGGTGCAGGTTTTGGGCAGTGAGGGTTTAACCTTGCTTTAGGGTTCAAGGTTTAGGGCTTGTATTTCGGATCCTATCATTTCGGTTAAATTACGTGAATAAGGTAACTTAACCCCAAAAATGTAGTTACAATGGGAACTATGGGTAGGTTGTTGGATTTTGGACCTTTCGGGTTGTGGTTAGGGGTTTGGGGGTCGAAGGGGTGATAAGTGCCACCCTACCCTTCCCGAACGCTTCTTAATCATGGGCCACTACCATCTGATTTAGGGTTTAGGATTTAGCCTTGTCTAGGCTAGCTGCAGTTCCTCTGATCGCTATCGCGGAAAAAACGAACCTCCACCCGAAAACGCCCCAAACCCGAGCATAAGCACGAGGTCAGAGTATGGTATCGAAAGGTTTATAAGGCACCAGCCTTGGACGCCGAAGTCCCGCAGTCTCTGAGGACATGGCCAAGTTGCCAGCAGGTCAACTCAGGCACTCCCAAAGCAGCTGGGTGTCTATGCGACGAGACGATCATCCAGCCTGTGCAAACATGGGCGGCAGGCATGGCAAGCGATCGACGTCCTCATGGCTTTTTTTGTACTCGCAGCCACATAAGACATGAGCAGCAGCAAGCCCCACCCACACCCACAACCACACCCACACCACAGCCCGACATCCCCCCGCCAACAGCCTCGCCACAACCGACGGCGTCGGCCTTCTACGGAGCTGGCTGTAGTGATGGAGTGACGGGCCGCTCCAGCACCTTATACCAGCAATAGACAGGGGTGGGCGGTACGTGGTGCTGAAGAGTGCATACATGATCATCCGTCAAGGCGTGCCTGAACAGCGCGCAGTCGACGGCCCGAGCTGAATCCTAACCCTAACTTTAAAGCCCGAACCCTTCATTTAAAGGCTTGGGGTTAGGTTTTAAGGTTGAGCTTAGATTTGGTTGATTGGTGTGGGTGCGTGGTTCCAAACGTTGGCCCCCTTCAGGGATAGAATGTCACCGACCTGTTTCGTGCTTGTTGCAACTTGTGTTATGAAGATTTGTGTAAGCGTGTAAATATTTTTGGAGACATGCATGTATATGTACATGATTGTATATCTGCGTGTATGTATAGTATGTGCACCTGATTGTTCATAATTGGTGTCCTTTTCTGCGCATACATTTAAGGTGTGGTGTTACTGGCTGTAAAGCGATACATCGTTTGTTGGTCTACCGGGCTTACGGCCGTCGTCGCGTGGATTGTACCTCGCTGTTTCGGGACTTGTCTGTATACCTAGGTGGGGCTTTGGGACATTTTATATTTTCCCTTATTGGGCTGAAGAGGATCTTATTTACTAATATTTTTCAAAGGCCCTAGAAGCCCCACCTAGATACTCTAGGTATCTCCAGGTTTTCGGGCTTAGGAGTCCTGCGCATAGATTTCGTTTTCTGGTGCTGGGTTTCAGGGATCGTATCGTGGGTCGCTGTGCGAGGTCCATAACAGGCAGCATGCTGGCAGTCTCGTTTGGCCACTTGGCTTGGAAGCGGGACCTCGATCTCTGGGAGCTTATTGGGGGTGCAGGCTTCAAAACCTCTTGTAGTTTACAAGCCCATGACACGACCTTCGGCTACCAGATTTTTGGAGCTCAGGGTTTGGGTTCAGGATTTAGAAGCCAGAGGTGCTTGGCTTTCACAGGGCTTCGCGTGAAGCTTGTGTGGCATTTTGTTGGGTTATTCGCAGATAGCTTCCCCCTGAACCTGAAAGGGCTCTCATTCCCAGAAGGTCCAAAGTACCGATATGGTAGAATGTAGGGCTTCGGAATTAGGACTTATATACTATTATGATTTGGGGAAGTATCCCCCATAATAGTACCTAGGACCCTTTGGGAATGCAAAGCGATGCAGTGTAGGTAAAACAGACGCATAAGCCCTGAATCCGCAAGCACTGTTGAAACAGGTAGCTCAAGTCGAAATCGGGTTCGAAGCAGCCGGTAGGATTTTTGAATTCCGGCATGGCCGAAGATTTAGCACCCACAGGACTTGCAACGTGCCTTGAGAGAATATTGCGTATACCCCCAAACCTTGTTCTAATTGTTCAATTCAAGCCAACCCTAAACTCTATTAAACCCTGTTCCAGTTGTTCAATTTAGGCCCCCCCCCATTTCCACAAATCCAAAAGCCCTCAATGCTGAACACAGAAAACACGCCCCAATACCTCCAGGGTTTCCGAGCTTAGCAATGCTAACCCTTAACCCTAAGCCGCAAGAGCCCCGAAGACCGAAACCCCAGAGCCATTGAAGCTTCAAAGCCTAAACCACGGAGTCAGAAAGAAACAGAAGAACCTCAACCCTAAACCCCTATAAACCTTAAACACCCAAAACCCATATACCCGAACCCCTGCACCCTAAACCCTGAACAATCAAGGCTCCACGAAGCCCCAAAACATAAACTCCGACAGCCTAAACATGAGAGACGAGGGGAGCTATAGGGCTCTATATTAGGGTCCCCTTTAAGGCAACCTTACAAGCCCTAAGCTCTAAATTCGATACAAGCCTTAAGCCTTAAATAAGCTCTATAAGAAAGCTCTGAATGGAACCCCTACAGGACCCCACAGCTGCAAGCCAAAACGCATTTAGATGGACACCAAAGCCCTAAACCAACCCTAACCCCCAAAACCCTAATACTCCAAACCCGAAACCCTAAAGCCCTAAAAAACCCTAAAACCCCAAACCCTAAAACTCTGAAGGCCAAAAGCCCTAAAAAGCCCGAAACAGAAGCCGAGGTGAGGGCATGTCCACCATCTTCAAGGAGGCGCGATCTGCTTCTCCAAGGGTAAAAAGGAGGGACCCTTAATAAGGACACCTAGGTATATACCCTTCATATGGCTATTATATGCCCATTATATAGCCCATTATAGGGTAGGGGTCCCCATTGAGGGTCCCTGCTTTTCCCCTTTTGAGCTTCGGGGCATGCTCGCCTTCTTGCACCCGCCCGGCCCGGTGGCTGCGAGTTACATGGGTGGTTGTCAAAATAGGGGTCTCGTTTTGGGGTACCCTAAACATCAGGTGCCGTATGATATTAGGGCCCCAAAAAGGGACCCTATTTTTGACAACCACTCATACTGAATATGGCCTGAGACTTTGCATAAATACTAGCCACAGCCGGGAAAAACGTTCTAAACTAAACCTCCCAGCGCCCCCCTTGATCCTCAGTCCTCAGCCTCAAAAACCAAAAACTAGACTCCTACACCAAAGGCCCATAGACTCTAATCTTGAAATGCTTGAAAAGCTCCGTTTCATTGGGAGGCCTACGATGGCCACTTTGAGGAAGTTGCCAAAGTCCAGGAATCAGGCTACACAGAGGCCGGGCTCTCGTCTCAGATCCCGAACTTGGAAGGGCAGGGGACTTAGCAAGTAGGTTATAATTAGGGTTATAATTGGGGTAACTCCATTTAGGGTACTTATAACTCTACTTATTACCTACTTACTAAGTCCCCTGCCCTTCCAAGAAAGGTTTGGGGTTGAGGGTTTGGGTTCTTTCAAGCGTGGATTCAGGATTTGGGGTGCGGGAACTTAAATTGGTGCTTAAAGGGGAGGGGGAGAGCAGATCCTTGTAATGGTCCCTTTGTATGGTTCCTGCTTATAGTTCGTAGCAGGGGTCAGCGTGGTCTGGTCTTTGTTTCTTGTGGGTTTGGGGTTCGGGCCGGGGTGTTTGTTATTGGCTTTGGGCCAAGTGTTTGTGATAGGGTTTCTAGGTGTGGGGTCGGTTTCATTGTCTCTCGCTCTTGCCCGCTCCTTAGTAAGCCTAAGCCTGGCACACGGCATGACAAGTAATTGATCTGCACAAGCCCTGCCGTCTAAGAGAAAAAACAGAGAGCTACCAAGGTGCCAGGCAAGCTTAGCGCGCCGGCCATGTCCGCCGGCCGCTGGCCCAGAGGGTTGTCGGTGAAAGTGTTTTTCGGGGAGATAAATGGCTTGCCGTTAGAGTTGACGGGGTTGGAGGGGATCGGTGTCCAGTAACAATGTTACCCTAAAGGGTCCAGCCTACATCCTACGTACCATATATCCCAGAAATTAAGGTTCTAATCGGTGAGACCCGAAACCCTAAAACCCCAAACCGTACTTGCCCTGGTGTCACAGAGTTCCGACCGCCGGCTACTCAGTGCACGATTGTTCATCAGGATTGGTAATTGGTAGGGGGTTTGGGGTTTAGAGCTTGTGGTTCAGAGCTTTTGATGAGGGGCCTGGCACCGCGGGTTTAACGCCTTGTATGGGTCCAAGCAACAGACTACACCCGAACTCTCTCAAATTCATTCCAGGTTTCAGAGATTGGCGCCAACACGACGAATCTACCATTCGGAGCAGCCGGAAATCCTAAAGCCAACCACCTTATACCCTCCAACCCTCAATTAGACTCTAAGCCACAGACCCAACACCCTTAACCATAGCAAGTTAGTCTAAACGTAAAATGCCAGAGTCCACATCGTCATCATAATCATCGTCATCCCCTCAGGGTCCATGTACCCACATATTGTATACTTTGGCCTTAATTTCCCTATATAGGTACAATGGGCCCAAGGTATATACTGTTTGGGCACATGGACCTTGAGGGATCATTATCGGCCCTACACTTCGTACCGTACCTTAAACTCTACCGCACTTTAGGGGCCTAAATGAATACCAGCGATTTTGGGTGTTCCTTATTAAAATTTTGGTAGAATGAGCCCCAAAACCCTATTCCTTTCTATCAAGGCCCCTGCATTCTTACTTCCTACACCCTATATACCCCCAAACACTAAATAGTCTCAAGCCCGCGGAAGCCTGACAAGCCTGAAACCCAGACAGTTCAGCCCTTCATCCTGAAATCCGGATTTTGCAGGAGCCGACGGCTATGGCCAGGTCAACATCTCAGTCAACCGGTCACAATACTCAATACTCCTTTGGCGAGGAGGCTTCCGTAAGTCATGGGCAGTGCCTTAATTTGTTTGAAGATACATAGCTTCGTAAAGGAGACTTTGGTACTGTCAGACCCGGCAAAAGGTCTGTAAACCCTCATGAACTTTCATAGGCGCTTGTATTCAAGGTACTTGAGAAGTATAGCGTCAATATGGGAGTTTCCGAAAATTAGGGGTACGTTATGTGGGGGTCCTTATACTAAGGATCCTACTGTTTTAGGGTACTATATTATTAGGGTCCCTTGTTTTCGGAAACTTCCATATGCATGCAGGCCCCTAAGTTAAACAAACAATCTAAACCCCTAAACCCTAAACCCTAGAGATCCCTTACCGGAACCCTTATAGTACCCTTTGAAGGAACCCTGGAGGGGATCCCTTTTAAAGGAACCCTTATACTACCCTATAAAGATCCCTTAAAGGAACCCTTATACTACCCTTTAAAGGAGCCCTTATAGTTCCCTTTAAAGGAACCCTTATAGTACCCTATAAAGGAACCCTGATAGGTCCCTTTAAAGGAACCCCAGAGACTGAGATCCCTTAAGGGAACCCTTCTGCTACCCTTTAAAGGATTCCTAAGGGAGCCCTTTAAAGGATTCCTAGGGATCCCTTAAAGGAGCCCTTATACTACCCTAAACCCTGAACCCTATAAAGGAACCCTTATAGTAGCCTTTTAAAGGATTCCTAGGGAGCCCTAGGCCTTGAGCCAGGCCATGTTGGTTAGTTTCGGCCCGTGGCTCCCAGCCCTCAGACTTTGTGTCTTCCGATTTCTACTGATCCGTTTTGCTTCTAGAGTCTCACTAGTATCAGGGTTGAGGGTTGAGGGTTTAGGGTTTAGGGGTTTAGGGTTTAGGGTTGAGGGTTTCGGGTTTCGGGTTTAGGGTTGAGGGTTTAGGGTTTGGGGTTTAGGGTTTGGGGTTTAGGGTTGAGGGTTTAGGGTTTGGGGTTCAGGGTTTCGGGTTTGGGGTTTAGGGTTTGGGGTTTAGGGTTGAGGGTTTAGGGTCCCAGTAGTATGATTATCATGCAAGCTTCTAGCTTCTTCACGCTTTTCAGGGTCTATATCGGTTTACGAGGTGTTTTGAGGGGTTTCAGAAGCCCAACAGCTGGAGCATGAGTATCCAGGAAGCACCGTTTAGTCCATGTTTCAACTTTTGGAGTAATTAGATTGTATAAGATATAGACACCTGTTTCTTTAAAGGATTTAAGAACTCAGGGTTTGCTTAGGCCTGCGAAGAGCCAGACGGGAATTGCTTGGGATACGGGAGCCGTGATTTAGGCCTTATGATTTCAGCGCAAAGAGGTTAATATAGGGGCGTTAATAGTTGGAATAGGGTTGGGGTGTATATTATACCATGTCTATACTAAGGAACCCCCAAAGCCCTACTGAAATTGTTTAGGCCCCTATACTCGATTGGCCCCGCCATGCTGCATCCATGAAGCTCCAGCGATTGCCTGCATTGGAAGCAGTTGCCGGCGGTTGCGTGCGTCTGCTGCGGATAGAGTACTGAACAGCTATGGCAAAAGCGGCAGTGATCCAGAAAAAGTTCGCTGTAGTTGGAGAAAAGGCCTCTGACCCGACCAAACTGCAATTGTGCAGCTGCTGCTACTGCTGCTGCTGCTGTTGTTAAAAACTGCTAGCCCACCTTGCAAATCTTGATCCCCAAACCGGCCCCCGAATCCCGGATTAAACCCGAGTCCTAAACCCTGAACTCTAAACTCCAAAGCAGAGGGCTTCCACACCAACATGCCCGAACGCCAAGGCTCCGCAGGCTACCAGCGCTCCCGCCGCAGAAATCAGCCAGCAGCAGCAGGTTTTGGTTAGGGTTTAGGGTTTACGCCTGGGGCACCCTTGATTTCGGAGTTCTCGTGTAGTCAGCGAAACTTAGACAGACCCCATAGTAAGGGTCGAGTAGCACCCAGGGCTTCACTTAGTTTCCTGGCAACACCAGAGCCTGAACCAGTTTCGCCCAATCAGGTTGTTAGGGATCCTCACATCAGTCCGCGCGACGGAAGGTTGCTACGCTGGATTTTATAGCTTTAGTTTTGTTCTGTCACCCTTCGTCCTTGGATTTGCTCGGTTCGTTTCGCCAAACCAGGAGTTCAGAAGAGTTTGTATCTCGGTTTTTTCCGGACGGAAGCCTGCCAAGCTTTCCATGCCAGGCTGACCCCGAGATTTTGCAGATTTAAGTCTCCATGGTCATCCTCGAAAGTAGTCGTTCTGATCAGTGGGATTCCTCAGCCACCCACTAACTACTGTACCACAAGTGCAATTTCGCATTTTGCCGACATGCGCTGTACCTGCAGACATGATGCGTGATCGTGGGGTGGCGGTGGCAGAGTCGCCGCACGGTTCCAGTGTGGATTAGAGGCCCTCGTTTGGCTCCACATCACTCTGAGGATTCCTGTGATGCAAAATGAACCGACAGCAGGCAGCTGTAGCGTGATCTACCCAGAGAGCCCGAACCTGGACCATGTGGGTAGTTAGTTCTCTACATTTTTAGGTACCAAATGAAGTACGGCACTTTAAAACGGATCCCAAACGCGACCCCAGTTTAGAGCACTACCCACATAAGTAGTGCCAGTATGTCCCCTATAGTCAAAGAAAAACTCCTCAGTTGGATGGTATTGTGCCAGGTTGAGATAGGAACCCCTATATACTGGCGCAGGCTGTGTTGGATGCTTTCGGCATGTGAGACTGCGGCTGCACCTTGCTTTGCAATCGCGAAGCTGCTTGAAAACCAAAGTTTGTTTTTATGTCAGTGGGCAGGCTATATAGGAAGCTTCTGTTTCTCCTGCCATACATTTCTGCCCATAACCTCTCATCGACGACAGCGAACAGTAACAGAACGTACTGCAGCGATTTCGATCAGTGCTGTAGCTTGGTCAGATGGCTAACAGGCACATCCTGGCTTAAACCAAGCCAGGGCCAGCGTGAGTCGTGGAGACTTGGGGTGGCCAGAAGCCGATGCAGATGCAGCTCATCTTTTTCCGCTGCACAGCTACATGCTCACACCAAAATCTCATAGAACCTCCTAATATAACTGTCGACTGCGTTGTCGGTTCGGCATGACGAGACATCCCCCTCAACCCGAAACGCCAAGCCCTTAAAGCCCTGAACCCCAAACTCCTGAACAGCTACGTACTACTGAGTCATGGCAAACCGTAAACCCTTAACAAAAACGGCTTCTGGACTCCCAAAATGGTGCAGAGACACTGGCACACGCTGCAAGCGTAGTGCGATCGAAATATCTCGGAGTATTTTACGTGTTGTGGAGTTTTTTGGTTGAGGAGGGGTGAGTTCAGGGTTTTAGGGTGAAGTCATTTAAGGATTCCTGCTTGGGTAGTAGTAAATCAGGTTTGTCCGCATATATACATGTACATCTATGTATATATATATATATATATATATATATATATATATTTCTTTCATTTATTTATTTTTTTTATTCAGAGAGAGAGACACACATATGTATATATATATATATATATATATATATATACAACATGTTCCTAGATAGATAAGTAGATAGGTAGATGTACAGATGGGCAGAGACAGGAATATTTTTAGATGTATGTATAGATGAAGTTGTAGAGAAAGGTATACATTTCGATACAGATATATGTAGGTACATATATAGGTATAGATATGGATATGGGTATATTTATCGATACAGAAGTGTATATCTATCGACAGAGATATAGATCGAGCTGCACTTATTGAAAATAGGTTCCTGGCTCCGTTTAGCACTTCCGTGTGGTTTGTCTAACATATAGGCTCTAGCATTCACAAGGCATCGGGCTTGGAGATGTTGTTCTGGAAGTTAGAGTTCAAGGCTGAGGGGTCTAGGCTAGTTTGTACATCTGACCCAGCCCAAAGGGTGTCCTAGTACTGTTGTGGAGAATAGGGTTTAGGGTTTAGGGCCCCAAGTCATAATAGTAGCTCGTTATATAGAAGCCCTACATTCTACTGTATAGATACTTTGGACCCTTTGGGCAGAGAGCCTTCTCGTATCTCTGCCCTGGCTGGCCATGCTCGCTGCCTTACACATCTGGCTCAAGGCACTACGTTAGAGAAGAGGCTTCCCTAGGGATTGAGAGAGTATGGAGCAAGGTTCTTCCCATGTTTCTGGCTTAGGCTATATCCGAAGGCAGATATATACGCCCCCACACAGGAACCTCTGAACCCTACCGTCCTGAACCCTACAACCCCCATTTTCAACCTCACGCTTGACAACTCTTCGGGCGTCGGAGTGGTAGCAGCGCCGGCCGGGGGCCTACTTGGAGGTTCATGGGACTTAGTAAGTGCAGTTATAAGTATCCTAATTGGGAATATAAGTACACATAAGTGTAGTAACCTTAATTATAACCCTAGTTACTATAAGTACTTTGCATTTGGTCTGTGCCCCCATGGAGCCTTGGGGACTGGTCTCCGTATAGAGCGCTTAAGAGGGAGTCTCCTGCAAGGGGTTCTAGAAGGGCTCCTATAAGGGATCCTTAAGGGCTCCTCTAAGGGATCTATAGGGTTCAGGTTGAGGGTACATAATGGGGCCCAGGGCTTAAGGGTTTTATTTTTTTTGATCTGGCGTCTTGAGTTTGGGATTTTGTGGTCTTGGGTTCAATAGGTATCGGGGTTGGGGCTTAGGATTTGGGTTTGGGTCTTACGTAGCGTGTTCTGGGCTCTCCAGAATGTGCCTGAGAGACGAGGCGTTATCAGTCGAAGAATGACCCCGTATGCTTCCACATTGAAATGTCAGGTGCGAAGGACACTACAACCCTGTGCATATTCAACTCTGTAATATGAGGGTCGAAGTTCTTGGTAATCATGTTCCCCTTCGGTGCCCTTATAACTCCAGTATAACATACCCCGTGACCCTTTTGGGATTGCTAAGGCCCCTATAGTATCTCTCGGAAGCTTCTCACCCCCACCAAGTTCGAAGCCCAGAACTGTTGAGTTGTGCATCCGGTTTAGGGTACAGGGCTTAAGGGTTAAATCCAACCTACTCGGCCTGTGAGAAATGCAGCAACGTAGAGACATTGAGCTCTCTTTTTTCATCGCGATGAGCTTTGGGGTTTACGGAGGGACTAGCACGGGAGATTGTGGTAGTTATTCCGACCCCTACATTACTCCAATGAGCTTTACACCCTAGACAACCAAGTAACTTGGTTGCTTGCAGTTGCGAAAGCTTCTCTTATCGAATTTCGAATCAGCAAGAACCCTCTTCCCTAAACCCTTAATCCCTAAACCCTAAATCCCTAAACCCGATCCCAAGCCCCTAGGCCCTAAGCTCCCTTGGCCGAGGCTTCCCGACAGCTCCCCACACACCGCGATGAAGGCATTGTGCTTCGACTGAGATGATCCCTTACATTGTGGTCCTGACAAGAAGGATCCTACTATTTAGGGTTTCAGATTAGGGCCTATTTTCGGAAATCCCCATTTGAAGAAGAATCCACACCCTGAGATGATCTAGCTCAGAGGTAAAAGGAGGGACCCTTAATAAGGACCCCTAGGTATATACCCTTACTATAGATATTATATACCCATTATAGGGTAGGGGTCCCCCTTAAGTACTGCCCCCGGAAGGATCGGAGTGCTATATCTCCATCATAACACGGTCCCCCAAGTGGGGGGCCTCTGGCCGTGATACGGTTGATGATATAAATCCTGCATTACCAAAATGACCCTAGACTATGGAAATTGTGGTATATTCCTGATTATGGGTAATGCAGGATTTAATTTATATCATCAACCGTACTTTTGGGCTTTCTTTCCAAAGTTGGCTATTAGGAAGGAGGATATCGTTCTTCGCATTAGAAGCTCGGCGAAGTCAGAACAGGATAAACATGATAGTGTGCGGGGCCTTCAAGGAGCTATCATCCAGTTCTGCCTCACGGATTCAGGGGACTCCAATCTTATTTAGCAAATATACCTTACTTTTTGGTAGGATCCCTACAATGATTTAAGGAGTTATTTTTCCTTATGTAAGTAAGGGATATTGGAGTCTCTGGGATTCAGGGAAGGCTGCAGGTGGCGAAGAAAGTTCTTGGAACTTCACCGGTTGAAGAGCCTGGGCCGTCCGCAGAATCAGACATAATAATAATAATAATAATTAAGGTTTTGCATGTATAGCGGCCTGAGTTAACTATCAGTATCGTGGTTCAGGTTATCTTTATCCTGAAGCTTTATGCGCTGAGGGCCCACTAACGTAAGTTCCCAGCTCTGAGCAATCGGCTCTCGCGCCTCCGCTAAGGAACAAGATCCGGCAAAGTCTCGCATTGGCCTTGGGACAGCTCCGAGTTGTGCATGTTTGTGCAAAGAATGCAAATCCTCAAAGAAACCGTTCCAACACACACACGCACACACAGACACACACACAACCCCCCAAAACCAGAAGAATCTGCCCAGACCTAGCCCCAAATCGGGGATTTGGGGTGTTGTTCTGCAAGGGCTCAGGGTTTGGGTTTTCTGGTTCAGGGTTTCGGGCTTAGCGGAGACTTGCAAAGCGACAAGCATCTATTTACGTGTCTATCCGTGATTTCGATAGATACATAGTTACCCGCGATCGCGACCATACTTGTAACCCCACTTGCGAGGTACCCGGCCTCAATCTTAGTCTCCCATACTTCCTACTCAACTGCAATGCGCCCTCTGCGGTTCGTTAGGGTTCAGTCGTAGCTGTGATGACGTGGGCGTGCATCTCAGAGTTGGAGTTTGCATCATAGCAACTCCGTGGACTTATGCATATAGCACCCAGGCAGCCAGCACCTCTTAATCAACTAAGGACTACACGCAGTAAACTATAGGAGGAAGCCTCTTACATTTGAAGAATTGTGTCTTCCTTATTTAAGTAAGTAGTGTTGGTAGTTTGTCAACTTTGACAGCCTTGAAATTGTAAGGCACCCCTACATAGCGGGATTTCAGATTGCTCATTTCCGGTATCAAAGTGACCGAGTATCAGCCGTTCTTATCGTATGGTTTTGTGCAGAAACAGAGGGGGAGAGAGACAGAGAGAGAGAGAGAGAGAGAGAGAGAGAGAGAGAGAGAGAGAAAAAGAGAGAGAGAGAGAGAGAGAGAGTAGCCACCAATCGTTAACTTAGTTAACCAAGCACACATGACTTGGAACCTTAGACATCGCAGCTTTGGATTTACAGAGACCATGTGGCAAAACGTTTCGGCTCCAGCCACAGACAACCCCTTCTGTGGTTCGGTCTATGCCACCGTACATGTCCGTGTCACCTTGAACTTTGAGCGATGCTGCCTCTTCGTGCTGCCTAGGCGGCAGGAGCAGGCGGGAAGCAGTGACACAGAAAGTCGCAAAATCTGCTTAGCCATGAGGCCCCAAGCCCTAAAGTGAAGCTCCCAGAAGGCCTCCCGGTACCAATTGTGAATACTTGCGACATCCGTTAGTCACTAAAGGCTGTCGCGATGATCACCCCTCATCGTCAAAAGCAGAAGCTACTCCGCAGTGCTTTTTTGTCGAAACTGGCAGGCGGGTGACGGATGGAGCTGGAGTCAGGTTCAGAGTGGGATGACTTGCTGGAGGAAATGGCTTCTCCCGTGCTTCTGCAGCTGTCGCTTGGCAGAGGGATTTGGGCGGAGCACGAACCCGAAGCTCACTCCCAACCGGACGAAGATGACGTTGCCGGGGGGTTATCTATAGCCCAAAAAGCCTACTTCATTGGGGTTCGTGTTTAT